TCGGCTGGGCGGTTGCGCAGCACGCCATCATCCTGTTGGGAGCCTGCAGCGCCTGACATCGTGGCTTGAAAGAGGGGGAGTGCGTGCCAGCTTTTCCTCTTGCATCTCTGTCTCATAGAAGAGAAATTCATCAAGGGCTATTAATACAAAGCCTACACTGCTAGCTCAGGAAGTGCCTAGCTGTGAGCGACTAGAAGCTGGGAAAGCATGTTGGAGAAGCATCACTCACACTTGGCATGTTTTCACCTCTCACCAAGATACTGTTTTGGCCACCAAGGGGAGACAGGATGCTGGGTTCACCCTGTAACGCTGCTGACATGCTCCCTCACCTTTGCTGCTCCTGGCTGCCAACAGTCCTGGTGTCTCCCCGAAATCATTGGGGATCTCGACATCTCCTCCAAACACAACAATCGCTTTGATCATATCCAGGTGGTCATGCTAGGGGACAAGAGAAAGCTCAGTCAAGAGCCACGCTCCCCTTGACTACATCACCTCTCATTCCCTCCCTCCTCTTTCCACTAGCCAAGGCACCCACAAGGGATCACCCCATGAAAGACAACATCTAGAATTTCAAAGGAGTTTGTCCCTGCCTCAACCCTTCAAGAAAATCCTCTCTCCTTCCCAGCAGCCTCTTGCAGAAAACTCACCTTCATGGCCAGGTGCAGTGGTGTGTTGCCATCCTGACCCCTGGCATTGGTGTGGGCGCCGGTTGTCAACAGTACCATGGCACAGTCAAAGCGTCCCCTCTTGACCGCAATGTGCAGAGCCATGTCAGCCGTCCGGCTGGTCAAGTTCACCTCAGAGCCGTACTCAAGCAGCAGCCGTGTCATCTGTGCCCAAGCGTGCACACGCCAGGTCAAGAAGAGAGAAAGCGATCATCAGGACAACCACCTGGGCACTCAAACGATCCAGGTCTCATGGCAAGCAAAGCAGGGGAAGAGGCAGGACCCTTAGCCTGGAAACGGCTGGCTGGCAGATGCCAGCTGCATTGTTCCAAGCACTGGAGATGGGGTTTGTCTGTCTTTTACCACAGAACTAGTTGGTGGTTTCACAATCTGGCTAAAGCTTCTGGATGTTTTGGGACTTATATGCAAGTGTAGCAACTGGCTGAGAGCAATGGAGAAAAAACAGTTCCTACTCAGGCCAGAATCCTTGCAGACTGGAGGGAAAAAGTTTGCTTTTTGATCCTCTCTTTATAAGCCGAGAAGATTTATGTCTGCTCTGAAACTCCGCAGGACATTTCTGAGAGGGATGTGACACTGCAGGAGGGAAAACAGTCCTGCCATAGGAATGTCCTCTGCTTGCAACAAGCACCATCAGGTGCTCCAGCATGGCATATCACACCACTGATCTGCCCATCTCTGGCAGAAGATGGACCATAACCCACATGCCACCACCCTGTGCCTACCTCACACTCTCCCTGCAGTTTTCAAGGCATCAATCTGCTTCCTTCCGTGAAACTGTCAGTAATGAGAAGAGAGCTCCCCCCAGGGGTAACAGTGACACTGCTGCAATTTCCCCAACAAAAAGGGAAAAGGGACAAGCTGGCAGGTTCACAGCCAAGGATGACATACGAGGGACGAGCCCACCAGTGTGTTTCACTGCAGGGCTCCACTGCTCCATCCCCCGTGGCAAACGGCACTGATCAGCACAGGCCAAAGAAAATCAAACATCGGGCTGCTGGCTGGGCTCTGACATTCCCAGGGCTCTGCACATGCGCTCAGGAAAGGGAGTGGTCAGCAGCAGGAGGAATTAACCGGGTGCTGGGTGGCAGCACAGGCCCTCGCCACGGATTGGCTTCCATTTACCTCTGCTTTCTTCGCCCAGTGCAGAGGAGTGGCTTCATAGCGCGGGTCCTTGGAGCGAACCTGGCTGGCATCCACCTCGAGGATGGCCTGGGCACACCTGGCAAAGACAACAAGATGAAGGGATGGGTGGCTGCCGTCTTGACTCAAGACCTTCACTCACATCAGCACCTGCCTCCCGCCCAGAGTGTTTCAGGAAACCCTTCAGCAGCAGCAGGCTCTCTGCAACACCTGCAAGTTCCCCAGCTGCAGTTTTGTTTTGCTCTTTTTAGAAAGGAAGGGCGCAACAGGAAGCATACAAGCTGTGGAGCAACATCTGGGTGCTTCTCCAATACAGGCATACGGCATTTCTGGAAACCCTCAAGACCCGAGGGGAAATTCTTCTCTTCTCCCTTTCTCTCCGTGGAAACGTGAGGATAAAACTGGAATTGTTAAATACTTGCTGAAATTAGGAATCCGTGTACTTCCCTATGAGTGAAAAATCACACCTATTGTAAATAGACTAGTACCTAGAAAGTGTGGGTAGGTAGACTTAAGAAACAAGCATACGCTCTCCACTCCGAAACGCCACCAAACAAACCATGTACAAGAGATCAAGCCCCACTGCAAAGTAAGGGACCTAAGCACATTTTTGGCTTGTGAATGTGTCTCTAATCTTGGAAAGCACTTTTCAAAATGCTGAAAAATTAGCTAGCAGCAGCTAGTGTTGACTTGAGAGCCCTATTTGTAGAGCTCGGACAGTCTATGAAAATTAAGTATTATAAAGCACATACAAAGAGAATCAAATCTCTCCAGGGAAAACAAAACAGGGAGTAAACATCGTGTCTCTTTTGATTCAGTTCCAGAGTGTGTTATTAAGAGTCAAGAGTATCTTTAGCCCACAGGAGACAGGACTAACTAGGCTTTGAAATGAAAGCTTATTAGGATCAGAGCACTGAAAGACAGAGGTACAGCAATTAGCAATACTATTTAAGCATCAGTAAATCATCTTCTCACAGCTTATTCTGAGAAAAAGTATTTCACAAACTTTTTTTTTTTTTTTTAAATCTGTGTCTTTCTCCTGATGTCTGATACTAAATAATATATATATAGATAAATTCAGGGAAAAGTTTTTTTTTCTGAAAATGTTTCTTTCTTTTCCACACTGGCACTTCTCTGCTCTTTTGCCAACTCCGTGATGCAGCAGAGGACAGCACAGGACATCTTCCTACTGAGCACTGCCCTGAAAGGGGTCCAGTCTTGGACAACCCTGAGCAAGCAGACAGGTCCCCAGACTGGAGGAAGAGCCCTGTTCTGGCAGCCCAGGCGGTTACTTACCCCTTCTGGGAGAACTTCAGTGCCGTGTGGATGGGGTAGCCCAGCGTCCCCATGACACTGCAGCTGGCATGGCATTTCAGCAGAGACCGAACCATGTCCTCTTTGCCCAGCTGACAAGCGAGATGCAGAGCGGTCAGCCCCTCATGGCTCAGGTGGTCCAAGCCAGCAGTTGGGGTTCTGCCCAGGAGCTGGGAAGAGGAGACAATAGATAAATAGACAGACAGACACAGAAAAGCACCGTCTCTCTTCCTGAGCTCCGAGGACAGACTCTGGTGCACTGGGCTCCTCACGATGCTACAGCCTGTCCTCTCCACCCCTGCTTCCAACACAGTAGCTATGGAAGTGCTCCTTCTTTTCTCTCCCCAAAGGGTTTATCGCTGTTCTCTGTGCCCTCTTCCTCTGGCCCAGGTGCTTCTGAGACACCCCTCGGCCAAAAAGGGCTCGCACCACCTTGAACGACACAGGCCAGCAGACTCCCACCATCTCCCACTGCATGAGCCAACCTCAGCCCAACCAAACGAGAGCGCTAACTGAAACCAGTAGTTTCCTCTCCTGCTGAGGCCCCATCAGTTACCACAGCCAGTCAGCTGCAACCTCCCCTGCAACTCCACCATCGCTTTCAGATACAAACAGGATTCGGTTTAAAATATACAGGTGGGGATACATTTGAAGGAATTTTCCTATTCTCCCTGTAAATTTTAGACCTGTTACCTGCTGCTTGATTCGTTACACAAAAATATCCTGCTGCCGTACTGGGGAAACCCTGCAAGCCTTGGTGCATGCAAGAGAAGCGGGAATTTAGAGTTTCTTTTCTCTGGTTTAGCAAGGAATCAAGAGAGAAAAGAAACAAACAGGAGACAGATCAGACCTGGAAGTATTTCTGTAACAACAAGCCAAGTTGCTGCCATCAGAGAAATAAAGGAAGATGGTATCTTTTTAATACAAAGGTCCTAACTGCCCTGCTCCACAGCATGTCAAGCCCCGATCGTCATCCCTCCCCCATCACGCATTAGGAAACTCCAGCACAGTCTGGCAGGCAGAGGGAGAGCTGTCACAACAGGTATTGGGCAAATGTGGGGGGTGCAGCCATAGGGGAGAGCCGGTCTCACGCTCGCACTGGGTGCTGGGGAGCTGACAGATCTGAGGAACCAACGTGGAAGGCCGCCCACGCCCTTACGAACCCTGTCACTCTGCCCAGCACTTCTCAGCAATCGAGAACGCCTCTGGCTTCAGACTGTCTCTGCCTCGAGGCTCTGATTGCTGTTCCCTGTGCAAGGCCGCTCAGTCCAAACAACAGGTTCTGCAGCTCAGGAGAGCCCAGGGCGGCTCCGAACTGTCCTTCAGTCTGTGGGCAACACACGCTCCCCCACAGCAGCCTAAACACACGCTCCCCCACAGGAGCACTCTGCCCAGAACCAAATACCCTGCTCGGAGGAGATGGAGAAGGGACAGCCAAGGGCCTGAGGAAAGGCAGGATGAAGGCCTGATGCAAATAGCAATGAAGGACACTTTCTGAGGAGACTTGCTTAATATCCTTGTTCCACTGCAGGGTGGAATCTGGAGCCTGCTTACGGGAAACAGCACCACTAAAGGGGGAAGAAAGAGGCTGAAATCAGCCTCAAGCATTAACTTGATGCTGCAGCAGAGGGAACTGACTTTCTCCTCCCCTGTTTCCAGCTATTTTCCTGTCTCTCTCCTCACAGCATAGAGAGGACCCATTCTAGTCCCATTCCCCCCAGCTTTGAAATCGCTCCCACCTCGATGGTCTGGGGGCTGTTCCCTCGCACAGCATAGTGGAAAACAGTCTCCCCGTTCCTGTCAGTAATGTCCACCCGCGCGTGGCACTCCAGCAGCTCCAGCAGGCACTCCATGTCTCCCTTGAGGCACGCCAGGTGCAGCGGGGTGCAGCCATCCTCGCTGTCCGTGCTGTTCACGCAGCTGCAAGAGATGACTCAATGTGAGGCCAGGAAGGGCTACGAAGACAACTTGCAGCTGCCCCGGGAGCTGATACAAAGGTACCTTCCACATCTGCAAGAGGTCCCGCTGGTGCAAACCACGAGGTTCACAAAAGCCCGGCCTCTTGCCAGGGAAGGAGCACAGGGAAGGGCCACCAAGAAGCCCTGACACGGACCCTCTCCCTGACATGCTGCTCCTTCCTCTGCCCCCCATATGGGAGCAGCTCCCCCTGCCCAAAGGAAGGCAGGAGACAGGTTACAGTCAGCAACCTGGCGGAGGTGCTGCCATTAGTCTCCCAGTCCCCTAATTCCTCATTAGTCTCCCCTACCCTCAGTGAACTTCCCCATGGAAAGAGAGCAAGGGCTTGTAGCCAAAAACTGTTCCCAGAAAGACAGTCCTACTGTACCGCCTCTCTCGTGGTTTACAAAGTCAGCCACAACCCCCTCCAAAAAGCAGCTCCACAAGGGTTGCAAGAATCTAACTAGTGCCTCTAGCAAAACACTTCAATCCTTTAGCTCAACCCCAGAGCTCTGGGCTTTAACGTCTGCAGCAGCAGGTTGAAAGCCCACCAATAAGCTTCCACAGTGACCATCGGACCCCCTTTGCTACCACATCTGTCATTCAGGCAAGACACACCAAGGCTGGCACTTTTAAACTCGACCTCTGCAGTAACCACAGGCGTTAAGCTCCCCCCAGAAGCAGCCCCTGTTGCTTTGGTACATCAAGCCAGGATACCCTAATCTGGCCTAGCCTGCCCTACCGAGCTCATTCCCAGCACCAGGCTCACCGGAGACCCCTCCCGCTCCTTGCCTCAGAACGTGGTTGTGCCGGAAGCTCTCACGATGGCCCATCTCCACCGCGACATGTGCCAAGGACCAGCTGGGGTGGTTGCGGAAGCAGTCACTGAGCTGCTGGAGATCCTCCAGCGACAAGGGCTGGCGCGAGCTCTTGTAGAAAGGGTGCAGCTGCCTGGCATACTGCTCAAAACGCATCAGGGCATCTGCTTCATTGTCCAGCTGGAAGAGCCTGGTGGAAAGGCAAACGCAGTGTCGGTCCTGCTCAAAGAAACCACCTCCATCCCATGTATCTGAGAGAAGCAGCTCTTCTTAAAACATTAGTGCTGGGCACCTTCCCATTCCTCCTCATCCGGTGTCATGCTTGTTCCAAGGGAAGAAAGGAGCCTACTTCATTAGCAGAGAGCATCTCCTCTTCCTGAGGAACGTTAACTTTTGGGCTGAAAGTTAACGTGTTAAGCATCCTGTGCTCCCGATCCCACAAAGCACTCGGGTACGAACAGAAGTGCATGTATCTGTGGATGTTCTGACCCGAGTACCTATTTCACAGTTGCCTGTTTTCACAGTGTTTGGACCCCGTCCTGCCCTGTTCTCACAAGCTGCTTTGATGACGACTCCTCCACCAGCACACGCAAGGGCCTCCCACTCTTCATGAGCCCACCTGCTGATCAGAGCCCACCTGCTGATCAAACACATCACCCCACACCCACGCCCACAAAGCACTGCGGTCCTGAGATCTGAGAGTTCGGGTCTTTAGTTTCACGCCTGAGTAGTGATGGCTAAAGATCCGTCACTTACCGGAAAGCGACCTGTGGACTCTGGGGATTCACCAGCAGGCAATCCCATGAGCGAGCATAGCTGTTCTTATACAGGGCCACCCTGCCTTCCTCCCTCAGGCACGTATGAGCGGCATACTCCGCAGCCGGCACCTCCTTCACCCGGTAAGGGTTTGTGAATATTTGGGTGACGCTGCTGATGGTATTCACCAGCCGACCGAAGAACTGCATCTTTCTGGAGACTCGGGCGGCTTCTCCCCCCGCGTCCTGAGGGAAACCCGGTCACAGGCTCCGCCCGGCCCGGCCCCTGCCCTTCCCTGAACTTAGCCACCCGGCGCCAGGAAAGGAGAACCGAGAGCCGCCGGGGTGACACACCACCCGGGAGGAAAGCCCGGCACCGGCACCTGCGGTTTTCCTTCCTGGCTCCTCCGGGAAGAGCACCCGCTTCTCCTCAGCGCCTCACGGCGACCGCCGACCTCTGACCTCCCTCTCGCCG